CCACAGCTACCTTGACTACCCACCCTCCTGCAAGAATGCGATCCCTTACTCCCAATTCCACCACCTCCGCCGCATCTGCTCCCAAGATGGAGCATTCCACTCGTGGACATCCCAGGTGTCCTCCTACTTCAAGCACCGCAACTTTCCCCCTCTGTTGATCAAAACTGCCCTCAACCACATCTCTTGCATTTCCCACACTTCTGCCCACAAACTCCCTCTGCCCAACAAAAATAAGAACATAGTCCCCTGGTCCTCACATACCATCCCACCAACCTCCACAGAGAATTCCTACGGTATGGAAACAGGCCCTTCAGCCCAACAAGTCCACACCGACCCTCAGATCATCCCACCCAGACCCATCCCCCTATAACCCACCTAACCTACACATCCCTGAACACTACGGGCAATTTAGCATGGCCAATCCACCTATCCTGCACATCTTTGGACTGTGGGAGGAAACCGGAGCACCCGGAGGAAACCCACGCAGACACGGGGAGAATGTGCAAACTCTACACAGACAGTCGCCCGAGGGTGGAATTGAACCCGGGTTCCTGGTGCTGTGAAGGAGCAGTGCTAACCACTGAGGTACCATGTCACTATGATGATACGTATTTAACATATTATCCTCCGCCACTTCCTCCACTTATAATCCGACGCCACCACCAAAGGGATATTTCCCTCCTCACCTCTATCCCTTTTGTAGGGACCGCTTACTTCATGACTCCCTTGTCCGCTCCACACACAGCCCACCACACCCGGCACCTTTCCTTGCAACCGCAGGAGGTGTGACACCTGGCCCTATAACTCCCCCTCACCTCTGTCCAAGGCTCCAGGCAAACATTCCAAATCCAACAGGGGTTCACTTGTACATCCTCCAACCTGGTCTCCTGTATCCATTGTTCCCGATGTGGCCTCTACATCGGTGAGACCAAGCGCAGACTTGGTGACCTATTTGTGGAGCATCTCTGCTCCGTACACAATAATCAACAGCACCTTCTGGTCACCAACCATTTTAACCCCCCCTTCCTACTCCCTGGGTGACATGTCCATCCTGGGCCTCCTCCAGTGCCACAATGACACCACAAACAAACTGGAGGAACAACACTTCATATTCTGCCTCAGGAGCCTACAGTCCAATGGTATGAACATAAAATTCACCAGTTTTAAAATTTCCCCATCCTCAGCCTCATGCCACATCCAACCTTCCCTCTCATTCCCGCCTCCTTTACCTGACACGACCTGTTCATCTTCTTCCCCACCTATCCACCCCACCCTTCCCACTTACTAATCCTCACTACCCCTATATGCATCCACCCATTGCCATCCCACCTACCTTCACCCAGCCTCACCCCTCCTTCCTCTATTTATTTCCTAGCTCCCTTCCCCACTTTCCCCCCTCCAACCCCCAGTCTTGATGAAGGGTCCAAGCCAGAAACGTCGACTCTCTTGCTCCTCTGATGCTGCCTGACCTGCTGTGTTCCTCCAGCTCCACACCGCATTGACTCTGACTCCAGCATCTACAGTTCTTGCTATCTCCTAAGTTTTTGCCTGTTGTGTTAATGCTGAACACAAGTGTCTATCTCACATTTGGCTACCATGTCACATAGTTAGTCCTATTAAAAATTAAAGAGCTGGCCTTGACATTTGCTGAACTAATAGTATACAATCCTGTCAATTGATTATGGAGCAGAAACACAGTCAGATTTTATTTTAACTCTGTGGTTTTCTCAGCTTTGATGAATACAAGATAAGTGACAAAGTAAAAGGGAGGGAAATTGAGTGAGGGATGAAAGTTAAAACAGCATGGGCAAGTTACCTGTTTTATCCTCCATCTGCCTGAATTTTAAAACATCTGATTTCTCAGATACCCAAGATGCCTTTTGGAGTCTGGCAGGAATATCGTACTATAGTGATTGGAACCAGGTGGACCTCATTGACCACAAAGTTCCTGATTGTGGCTGTTAACCTGGGCGAATCAGGAAGCCCTGGCTGACCAATATAAACAGGGGATATAAAAGTTTGGTAAATCTCATACTTGGGAATACCGTCACCTGTAGGTTCGCTTTTAAGCTGCTTACCATCTTGACTTGGAAATACATTGCCTTTCCTTCAGTGTTACTGGATTGCAGCAGTTCGAAAAGGCATCGCACCACCACCTTTTCCAGGGCAACTAGGGGTGGGTAATAAGTGCTGACCTCATCAACAACCTGAGATCCCATGAGTGAATAAAACACATCTTGCAATCCTAACCTCAGGCTTGGCACGTAACCTCAGAATCACCAATCTTTTTAGCTTTGACTGTCTAACTGCATTGGTTGGAAAGTCAGCTAGCAATGTGTTAAAATCCACTAAGTCTCCCATTGTTATTTGGGAGGGACCAGTCATTTACTTGGTTGTTTTCCCATTTTGGAGTTAAAATTTCTATTTGAGAGTATTTGATGAAGGATATGAAGAATGTGCATCTTATCATATTTCTCAAGCAACTCCACAAAACCTCACACATAATAAGTTTCTTTAAGGTAGAATGACTATTTTTATGTCGATAAATGTGACAACCATGTGAAATTTCATAAACATCATTTAGATAAAGAATCAATTAGTCTATATCTTGTGATGCTTGTTGAGGAAAGAGGGGTGCTCAGTATGTCAAGAGGACTGTTGGTCTTCATCAAAACAGTGTTATGAGTCTTCAGCATCTACTGAACTAGAAATTGGGTCCTGCTTTAACATCTTACATTGAAGAGAGCCCCTCACCTCTGGAATAGAAATTTCTTTGGTGTTTCAAATCTTGCAGCATTGTACATAAGGGAAACTTCCACAATCCAAACCTTGACGTGGCTATGCTCACGAGGAATGAATCCTGGGAAAACCAGTGACTGATTCATTAATGCAGACCAGTTCCCAAGAACTTGGCACTGGAATGTCATATTCTGAAATCTTTCTACTAATGATAGGGATTTTACTCAATGTTCCATGGAAGTTCCTAAATTCTATTTGCCATCTGAAGGTTATAAGTTATAAAGACCATAAGACGTGGGAGCTGATGTATACCATTCAGACCATCAAATCTGATCTGCCATTCAATGAGATCATGGATGATCTGATAGTCCTCAACACTTTACTGAATTTTCTCCATAATCTCTGATGCCCTTGCTGATTAACACTTGGTCTACCTCAGCCTTGAATACGCTTAATGACTTAGCCTTGACAGCCCTAATTGTAAAGAATTCCACAGATTCCCTACCCTCTGAGAGAAGAAATTTCTCCTTATCTCTGCCTTATGTGGGCAACCCCTTATTCTGAGATTATGCCCTCTCATCTTAAACTCTCCCAAGGCAAAACACTTTTGCCTCTGCCCTGTCAAGCCCCTTAAGAATCTTGTACATTATAAATAGACCAGCCAGACCATTTGGGAAGTGAAATTAGGAAGAACTTCTGCCCTCAAAACAATCTTGACAATTAATGGAATTCTCTCCCCTAAAAGGCTGAGTGAATTGAAATGATCAAGAATCCAAATTATATTTTTATCCCATAAGGGTATCAAAGGCAGGAGTTAGTTAGTTGATAAGCTTTGATCTATCAGAATGGTTGGACATTTTTGAGGGACTAGCTCCAGTTCCTATGTTCCAGTGTGATTGATGCAATTGGGAACATAGTTCATACTCACTGCCAAGGCCAAAGCCTTCCATTAGTGCCATCCTTTTCAACTACTTAAGCCCCAAAGGACTTTGGTTTTCTTTGTCATGTTTAAAATGTTTACAGATAGTACTTAGAAGGGATTGGGGGTGGTATGTGGGAATTTGATATTGTTGTTGTTCCTTCATGAATGCTTCTTTCAATCGCTATTCCAACTGGTGGCTATTCATTAGTGAAATTTTGATGGGTTTTCTATCTGCCTTATCCTCTATACTGTAGCTTGGTGCTTCAGGAAAATATGATCACATCATAATTGTTAGAGTAAGATAGACTGATAGACTGAATTTTAATCAGCAAAGGCATTGAGAATTATGGAGAAATGGCAAGGAAGTGGAATTGAGGATTATGAGATCAGTCATGATCTGCTCCTGTGTCTTATGGTCTTAGTAAAGATATATCATGGTGATTAATTGAATCAAACTTGTAACAAAGTAGCAGAAAAAAGTTGATGAAGGAACTGCATTAGATGTTGCTTAAAGATATAGGATAAACCATTGAGAACTGAGATGAAGAGAAATTTCTTTAGCCAGAGAGTGGTGAGCCTGGTGAGCTGAACTCGCTACCACTGAATGCAGTCAAGACCAAAACATGGTATGATTTCAAAAAGAAGTTGGATATAGCAGTTGTGACTAGAAGGATCAAAGGATATGTGGAAAAGCAGGAACAGGATGTTGAGTTAGATGACCAGCCATGATCATAATGAATAGTAAAGCAGGCTTGAAGGGCCAAATAGCCTACTCCTGCTCCTATTTTTTGTGTTTCTATATTTCTAAGCCACTATGCTATGGCAGGTGGTGAGTCGGCGCTCACTCAAAGAGGTGCTTCCATCTTGGAGCCTGCTTTAGGAAATAGAGGCACAGGCTCATCTCACTGCACCTCCCCACCAGCTCCTGAGGTGAAAATTACAAATATGTGAGGGTTTCTTCAAAACTTAAGAAAGCAAAAGCACAAAATGGCCTGACTCTCAATTTGTGAAGTAATGATAATAATTTGGCCTTTTTGCTTCAGTAATGACAGAGCCTGAGATATAGCAAGTAGATTTTTCCATCTTAATTGGAAGGGTTTCATTTTTGAAAGTTCTAATCATACCAGCTCCTTTCTTTTTTATACAAATGTATGGCTAGGTTTTTGTATAAATAATAATTATGTTGTTGATTCAAGAAAGATGATCCTTTTATTTATTAACCATTATTAACTTTTTTTGTTGAATTCAATTCAATTAAACGAATGAACTGTCAATCACACTTTTCTTTATATGACTATTTATTAGAAAGATTATATTTCCAGACAAATACCACATCAGCATAAAAGCAAAATTCATTGCAGTTTTACATTCTTTATATGGATATTAGATAATGAAACAAGGCTTTGCTATGACAGCACCAAAAAACAACTAATATGCATTTTCTCCCATTCATACAATATAATCAAGTTGTACTTTTTAAATTAGGCGAGGGTATTTCTTTCCCCTATAATCTTTTCAGACAATGAAATCCTAATCCCTGCACCTTCTGAGTGAAAAAAAAAGTCTTTTCTCAACTCCTCTCGAATCAAACTGTCAATTACTTCAAAACAATTGCTGCTGTTTAATGACGTTTCAGCTGAGGAAAATATATCCTTCCTACTTACATCAGCAAAACTTCTCATACTTTTACACTCCTCAGTAGTATCTCCATTCAGCCTCCCCTTGCTCAAAAGAAAACAATCCTACTCCATTCAATCTTTCAATGTGGCTAAAATTTGCCATGTCTTACAACATACTTATTAATACCATTTGCACCCTCTCTCGGGCAATCTCTTCCTTCCTGCCACACAGTTATCAGTTACCAGAGATATTTAATCCCATTATAACACTGCTATCTGTGTCACACACTCTCCTCTCTTAACAAGTTATCTTCTGGTTGATAATTTTCAGCCTTCATTTTCCCTTATTCATATTAGTCTCACAGTTCTGACCTCCATATCTAACTTTCAGTAACTCTTATCTGCTTCCGTCATATTCTCGTAATGACTTCCTCTTTATTATGACAGTAATTTCTCCTTCTGTAATTTAGAATAATGTTTTAGAAATTGTTAAATCTATCAAAATGCCCTGGCACTTCGACAAATAAACATTTTTACTGTGAAAGATTTATTAGCTAATTTGGTAAATAACTGATGCATTTCACTTTGGCCATTAGAAAAGTCACACTAACTCATAACCCGTTTTAAACAAACAATCAAAATGAATTAAAGCAATAGCATGTTACTATATATTGTAACTATTGGTCTACTCTTCACATCAAGTTAACTGGTCCATTGTAATCTGAATCCAGATGGTATAACTGCATATTCAGCATGGAATTTCACAAACACACGGTAAGATGTAGAAGTGAAAGGAGCAATGTTACTTTCCTGTAAGCAGAGAAAGTGTAAGATAATGTGAGTATAAATGTACCATGTATTCATAAAGAACAAGTAATAAAGTATCTACTCTCCAATCAAACCAATGCAGCCCACTTTGAGCTTCTGTGGAGAATTCTACCAAACTAATTTATTCACCTCCAAAAGACTTTTTGAAGTTTCTATCTGTCCAAAGGCAATCAAGCATTTTCTCTTAGTTGTGTACAGTTTTTAAAGATTGTCCATTTACACTCTCACAATATATAACTATACATCTATAATCTGTATAAATTTTAGCCAATGATCAAAATGATGCTAAAACACAGTGGCTTTGATTGTCTTTGTAAACTGAAGTTGCTATTGCGTGATTTACTTTAATCCAGTTGCCAAATAATTTATAATAAGTGGGTTATTATAATTAGTTACTGGGAGCTGAATCTTACCATACTTTGGCAAAGTGTCATTTTCATTGAGGTTCATGGAGGGTTTCTCTCCACAAGACCTAGTGGATTTTCTCACACTATTGTCTCAAACGTGTTTCATGAACTATCTCCTGCTGGACCCAGAAGGCTGACCATGGCACACTCGCCAGATTGTTGACATACAGACCACCTGGTGGTGACAGCCCTGAGTGGATCATGCACAAATGCTGGTCTAATATTGGAAGCTGCCTTTGACTTACTTTGCTAGGAATTGCTACCTGAAGGGTCCTCCCTGACCTTCACTAAAGCCACTCCCCTTCGACTGTGAGATATGACTCGTTGCTTACAGCGCATGTAGTGTGATTCCCATGTGCATGGTTGGCACATGATGCAAGTACACAATTGATGTAGCAATGTACGATTAACAACATGCCCATCCAACTGACTGATGATGGCTGCTGACTGGCCTGACAAACTGCTTATTTCTGTGTTACACTAAGGCAAGACAGAAGTACTGTGAGACTTTAAAATGTGTTGAGGTGGGGGCTGGTGCAGAAGTGCGGGTGGTGAAGCATTTAAAGGCAAGGCATGGATGCTGCGAGCATCAGATAGTCAGCATGCTAAAAGAACAAGTGAGCATCTCTGAGCTGCAGCCTGATCAAATTATAAAGTGAGAGTCTGTCCCTGCATATAAAATGTACTTGTGAAAGCATTCCAATGATAATTGCTGGTTCACTCTAAAATTCTACATGGCAATGCACTGGAGATGTACCATGAGGATGTGGAGAGGCTGTCATGTGTCAGATGCTAATGTCTGTGAATGTAGTGCATGTGGTAACTACCCATGGAGCACGATGTGAGAAACTGGTGCCGAACATACAAAGCAGAGCTCCGGAGGAGTGGGAGAGGGGTTGGAGTCTCCAGGTCCCCACTCTAACCTTCATGTTTGGAATTGCAGAGTCTAACTTCTCCCCAGTGGGTGGTAGAATAGGAGATTGCATATTAATGAAGTGAGAGTGAGGAATAATGAGGGTGATGATAATTGATCATCCCCCTTAACAAGCCTCTCACTGCTCATTAATTAAAATCGCGTATTGACATCTGGAACTTAGTTGGAAAATGTAACTTGTTGCTTCTGACATCAAGAAAGGTCTCATTTGACTTCTCATGTAATTCTGTCAAATTTTTCGATATAACCCATGTCTTCCAGGGCCTGAGAAGATTTCACCAGATGTTACAACATCATAGACTGGAATTTAACATGGACACATTAGCCAGTGTGATTTATAAAAAATAAAGTCTCAATGTATTATTTAACGGAGTCCATCTACTGGATGAATGCAGTAATAGGTGCCAATGCTTGTGAAATTGTATTGGCACTAGATTTTGCAGTCCTTGGTAAATTAATGGAGCCCACCATTTACCCATGCCCACAGACATTTTGTAGGTTTTTGCACTGAGTCCTATCGTGTTTAAAGATCCATTCAGTGCTGTGCCCTCTACAATGGATCTATGTGCTCACAGTTGGCAACTGTTCATCACTTAAATGAAGCAGATGGAAGAATTTTTACTGAGGGATGCAGTGCCTGAACTATGAGGTCAAGGTTGGAAAAGTCTTTGTGGAAAGCAGAAGAAATAGATGGAAAGAAAGATATGATTATGAGTAAGAGATAAATAAGAGACAGAAACAAATAAGGTCAAGATAAATATTTAGACATTTAAAAATGTATAATAATTAAAAATTTCAGTTCCACAGAAGTTATTGGACAGTAATTAAGACCTACCAGATTAATAGAAAATCACTAGGATTTGAATGAACAAGCACCAAACCTGCTTTGGCTAGTTTAATGGATATCCAGTTGGTAAAAAAAAGGCAACTCACTCTTATGCAAAAAAATGTGGCAGCAAATGCACTAATTTACCAACAAGCACTTTTTCTATACAGTTGGCCAAGATGGTCTTATAGTTTTATACCCGCCAGAATATGGTTCATCATACAGCCTCAAGTAATCTTTGATGGTCATCAAGGTGATTAATATGAAAGTATGCAAAGTTTATTATTAATACTCATCTATTGGTGCCACAACTATCAACTCAGTCAATATTGTTGCTGTAGGTAGCACTTATTGGGGTTGTATTTGTATGAAGGTTCTCTCAGTGAGAAACAGGTGAAGCAAAGTTTCTGATAGTTCAGTGGAATGCAGGCAGCAATGTCCAAACTGCCACATTTAACTGTGCATGAATAGTTACCAAATGTTGCTCTCCAACTTGCTCCATAATAAAGGGGAGGACTGATGGACTCACTATTACTTTAACTGCAGGATCTGAGCCAATAACTCCCTGAAATAATTTATCTTGTTAACCACAATGTATTGGCCCTAAAATTATGTTTTCAAAGCACAAAATATTTTCAAGCAATATACTTTCATTTCTTAACTTTATGCTTTCGTTCAATTGACACATAAATATGATCAAAAACACGGCAGAAAATGAATTTTCAAACTAGTGCTTTTTCTACCTACCATTCCACAGTATGGTCCAGTTGGTGGTGAATTGGAATCTGGACCATCATACAACTTCAAATAGTTCTTGATACAGTCACCAGGGTCATCAATATTAAGGGATGTGAAGTGTATTGTTAGTACATGTCCAATTGGTGCCTCAATTATCCATTCACAGTCGGTATTGTTGCTGTAGGTGGCTGGGTAGTTGGGACTGTAAAAAGACCCAGTGGAGCCAAATAATGTTCCACCACAGCCTGTGCAGGAGAAAGAAACCATGTGTAAAAAGTCAGCTGTTTGGAAATTGTATTTTGATAACATCTGCATTGTATTCAACATCCCAACATGCCAGCATGTTTTTTTTGTGCAATAAATAATTAAAATTTGGTCAGTTGATTCATTTATAACACATAACAAAAGTGCACTGTGACTTTATATTCATTGATTGGGCATTGCTACAGGGATAACATTTAAGCAGCTCTCTGGTGAAGAAATTTGTGTGTAAATATTCTTGGTACTGATTTGGAGAAATTTAGGCAGAGTACACCAGAGATAGTCTGTACCACTTGCCTTACCTTCTAGTCTGGTGTGATTTCCCAATTATAGGTACACAGCAAGCTTCCCTGTTGGAGCAGCCAAGAGGAAGTTGGGCATTTTAGCTCCCAGATCAGTTAGGAACTTCATTAAGAAGCTTGAAGGACATAGAATTTGATAAGTAATGGGAGTGAGGTTTTTATGTGGACAGTTTCTAATGGGAAGAACTAAGTTTTTGAATTTGCTTATGGCTGCTAGAAGCTGTAATTTGCATGTTGGTCAATTTTATAGGTTTTAAAGATGTTAAGGAATAATTTCCACTTTTGCTGCGATATAGAAATTGGGCGTAAAGTGCATTTTAAAATTAGTTCTCCAAAGAGGCACTCTGTCTATCCAAATAAATGCACAAGTTCAGATCTCCCCTAATCAGGTGCACACTTTGGGTTTCACATTCCAAGGATACCAAAATCACACTCCAGGGGAGGTCGCTTGTGATTAAAATGGCCAGCTGACATTGTAAAACGTGCTTATGTAAAAATGTAACCTGTCCCCATTCCTGCACCGGCAAGGATGGCAAGCACTGTGCTTGGTAACAATATTTACAAAATTCAGTTGTTTCCAGAATGTTTTCCAAGATGAAATGTGGTGAAAATCTAGACTTTAATGTTAGAAATGTAGTGATTTCTACATAACATTGTAAAATGAACGATTCTTTTGGCAAGGTGACTGTTTTTGGAGTTTTAGACAAACATTAGTGCATCCTGCAAACTGAATAAGAAAATAAGTTGTTATTTTTTCACATTACCATTTGGAGAAGATGTCCAAGTGATCTCAAAACCATTGTGACTTCCCAAGACGTCAGATTTAAAATGTAAAGTAAGTGCGTGGAAATTTGAGAAAATGGGATTTGGCAGTTTTTTACCACACAACCTGACAAGCAGTTGTCCATTACTTTCTGTGCCATTTTTGATCTGAAATAAATAAAGAAAATTACAGTTCAATGCTTTTCTGCATTTCAGTGTCAGTATGAAATCTGAAACATTACTCAAAAATCATCCTCCATGAGATCTTGAGATAGAAATTTGAGATTTAACGCTAACTGGGTTAAATGCCCTGCTTAATATTCAAGTAAAAAGAGAAAACAAATTCTGGATTTATTCAACAGGTCTGGCAGTATCTTGGAGAGATAAACAAAGTCAGCATGTGAGAAAATACAAAAATCAGCAAAGAGAAAGGAAACAAATGTGAGTAGAGGTACAATATGAAACTGTTGCATCCAATGTTGTGTCCAGTGTAAGGTGAAGAATTTAAATGACAAAGGATCATTAGCTCCAGTCTATCCTTGTGAACTGAATGGAAGTTTCTGCAAAGTGATCGCTCAAAGACCTTGGACCATCAAAGTTTCTTTTCATTCTTCTATCAGACACAGACATCAATAGCAAGAACAGCATTTGTTGCCCATCCCTCCTTCTTTTGAACTAAGTGGTGTCTTGGGCCATTACACGGAGTAGTTAAAAGTTAACCACATTATTGTGACTCTGGAGTCATGTGTTAACAAGTCCAGGTAAGGATGGCTGATCTCCTCCTATAAACATCTTTAATGAATCTGCAGGGATCAACATTATGACCACTACTTTTCTGCACATATATTAATGACCTAGACTTGGTTGTGCAGGGCACAACTTCAAAATTTGCAGGTGACATAAAACCTGGAAATACTGTAAGTTGTGAAGAGTGTGGTAAAAGATTTAAGAGGATATAGACAGGTTTGGTGGAATAGGCAGACATGTGGCAGATGAATTTAATGCAGAGAAATGGAAAATGATAAACTTTGGGAGGAAGAATGAGGAGAGTCAATGTAGAATAAAGGTACTATTCTGAAGGGGGTGCAGGATCAGAGGAACTTGGGTATAAATGAACACAAATCATTGAAGGTGGCAGGGTAGCTTGAGAAACCAATTTCAAAGTTTAATGGAATCTTGGACATTGTAAAATAATGTATTGTATACAAAAGCATGATGAAACTTTATAAAAACACTAGTTCAGTTTTAACTTGGAATGTTATGTTAACTTCCGTAGGCACTGGAACAGGTGCAGTAAAAATCTACAGGAATGTTTCCAAGGTTGACGGACTTGAGTTACAGGGATAGATTGCAGAATCTGGGGCTATTCTCCTTAGAGAAGAGAACATTGAGAGATTTGACAGAGTTACTCCAAATCATGAGAAATTTGGGCAGTATAGACGAAGAGAAACAGTTCCCATTGAGGGAATGGTCAAGGACACAGGGTGCCAATTCAAGATGAATAGCAACAGACCAAACGTGTCAAAATAAATTTTCTACCGAGTGAGGAATGTGTAGTGATTGTAATGAGGTTGGCCAGGTGGACCTCATAGAATATGAATTCCCTGATTGGGCCTGTTAACCTGGTCCAATCAGGGAGTACTCACTGACAGATAAGAACAGGAGTGTCAGACTTTCTGCTGACTCTGAGAGCTGGCTCTGATGGAGCTGGATCAGTGTCAAGGACACTCCAAGTGTAAATAAAGGGTGACTTGGTGATGGGACACTGGCCTCTGTGGAGTTATTTCAGAATGCATTGCTGGACAGTATGCTGTAGGCAGATTCAATTGTGACTTTCAAACATATTAGATAATCATTTGAAGAGAAAAGAAATTGCAGAACTGTTGGGAAGCACCAGGTGAGTCGCTTGCTCAGAAAACAGGCATATGTAAGATGGGCCAAATATCCTCCTCCTGTTTTGTAACAATTCTGTGATTCTATGAAAATGAACTTATTTACCTTTTTTCAGACTACTTGGATATTCAGCATACTTGTATTTCCAAAAAGTATTTGATCAACCGTCACTCAAAATGTTAACACAAAGGCATTTGTACAGGTACATGGATAGGAAGGGTTTAGAGGGATATGGGCCAAATTGCAGGAAAATGGGACTTGTTCAGTTTAGGAAATCTGGTCAGCATAGATGAGTTGGAGCAAAGGGTCTGTTTCCATGCTGTATGACTCATGAAATTGGGGGTAATATATTAGTATGTATGGAGGATTGCTTAGTGGACAAGAAGGAAAGAGTCAATATACAAAGAATCATTATTTCAAAGAAGAGCAGGCAACTTATCCTCACCATCCTGGTCACTATTTACCTCACAATTAACATTACAGCGGACAAGTTATCTGATTGCCCTCACATTGCTGTTTTTGGGAGTTTTTATGTACAAATTGGCTTTTACATTTATTTCATTACAAAAATGATGAGAGATTACATGTATTAGTTGTAAAGTGCTTCAGGATATCCTGTGGCCATGAAAGGACCTGCACAAAGCCAAGTCTTTCTTTCTTGTTCATTAGAGTTGTTAAGTCAGTGTACATGAATATGCTTAAGCACTGCATCATGAATTACAATGTCACAGTTATGTTCCAAAAATTGTTCCGAGTAGGCAATGGCCTAGAGGTATTGTCACTGGACTGTTAACCCAGAGACCCAAATAATGTTCTGGGGACAACCTTGCCACGGCAGATGGTGGAATCTGAATTCAAATTTAAAAACAAAAATTGGAAGTTAAAGTCCAGTTGTTGACTGATGTACAAAGACAGACTGGTTTGGATATACAGTCCATACAGATGTACAGCATGGAAACAGACCCCTCAGTCCAACTTGTCCATGCCGACCAGATATCCTAAATTAATCTAGTCTCATTTTCCAGCATTTAGCTCATATCCATCTAAACCCTTCCTATTCATATACCCATCCAGAAGCCTTTTAAATGTTGTAATTGTACCAGCCTCCACTACTTCCTCTGGCAGCTCATTCCATAAATGCACCACCCTCTGCATGAAAAAGATACCCCTTAGATCCCTTTTAAATCTTTCCCCTCTCACCTTAAACCTCTAGTTTTGGATTCCCCACCCTTGGAAAAAGACCTCAGCCATTCACCTTCTCCGTGTTTTTATAAACCTCCATTAGGTCACCCCTCAGCCTCTGATGCTCCAGGGAAAAAAAGCCACAGCATATTCAACCTCTCCCTGTAGCTCAAACCCTCCAGCCCTGGAAAATCTTTGTAAATGTTTTCTGCACCCTCTCAAATTTAACAACATTCTTCCTCTAGAAGGATGGCAGAACTGTACGCAGTACCCCAAAAGAGGCCTAACCAATGTTCTGTACAGTGACTACGTGACATCCCAACTCCTATACTCAGTGCATTGACCAATGAAGGCAACCAATGAATTCTCTGCCACAGAGAACGTTTGAAGCCAAAACATTGAAGAAGGAGTTAGATATAGTTCTTTGGGCTAAAGGGTTCAAAGGGTGTGGGGGAGGAAACAGGAACATATACTGAGTTGGATGACAGGCCAAATGCTGGCAAATGGGGACCAGGTCAGATTAAGATGTCTGACCTATTACAAACTATTAAAGTCCAAAAGAAGGCCATTTGGCACTAGGTATCATGTCTGCACTGGGTCTCGAAATGAGGATTTTAAAATGTCGTTTTTTCTGCCTTTTCCCCACTGGTCCTCTTCAAATAACAGAACTCCCTTTAATGCTGTAATAACTATCAAGCAGTATCTCACCTCTAAATAGTCAGCGTTGCAACCAGGAAAATATTCGATGCTGAAGGCATGAAAGAAGAGGGAGATCTTGTGGCTCTCTGGGGCCCTCAGAATGATTGTGCAATTGCAATAATGTGGATAGACATTGGGCCAGCCAGGACTCTTCAGGTAACCAAATGACTGGTTGTATTGTCTGCTGCAGCCTGGAAAGAGTATTCATGATGTGAATAATTCTCATTAAATATGCAGAGTCAATTATCAGTCAAACTTAACACAAGGCATAGCATTTTTTATGGGCTTAAATAGAAAATGTGATGACTAAACATAAATACAACAAAATTAACAGGATCTCGCTGAATTGAGATAAAATTAATTTAGTAAACAGTAATTGATTGTTATGTGATTCTCACATTGGATTAATATTTATTTTGCCTTTTCCTAAATTTTCATCTTCCGAGAACCACACATTTATTACCTGTTCTGCCGTCAGATGTTATTACAAACTGCTGGAGGAGTGGGACTTAAACACAGGTCTCCTGGCTCAGGGGAATGGACATTACCACTGTGCCACAAGAAACTTCTGTACATGAGCCCTCTGTCATCATGCAGCTGACGACATCAGTACGAAAGGGTCCCATATCATGCACAAATCATCTGTAACCCAGGACATCTTAGAAATGTCAATGTTGCTGATGTTCTTGAGAACTCTCATGTTCCTGCTTCCATTCAATGGCTAGATGCCTTACAGAGATTATTACTAGGAGACCATAGTTACTGTCAGTGACTCTGGCTGATGATTCCAATAAGCAAGCCATTTACGGAGTTGGACAGTGGGCACAACGCAGCTGATTCTTCAGCCGGGGCCATGATAGAGCAGACAATAGTCCTCTTGAAGGTGAGGTTCTGACCCTTATTTTGATCTAAGAGACTCTTGAAATACTCTCCAGGCTGTGCTGCATTTTTCTAGCATGCTGCGCTTCTGCACAAGTTGAGCAGGGCGAAGAAAGAGAACATGGTGGCTCCTGAAGATCTGGGAGATCGGCAGAAGTCTTTTGAGGAGGAACATGAGGACATTCAGTAGGAAAATATCACCTTCTGTATGGTAGAGTGCTGCAGCACTAGGCGCAAAAATACTAGATAGGACTTAACTGAAACCCGCTTCTACTATATGAGAGCAGTAATCACTCATTGATTGTAAATCTGTTCCTGTTTGAAAGACAAGCACTTACTGCCTGTTTCCAGGGGCAAATACAGCTTTTTTTTTTATTTGTTTATTTTTCTTCATTTTTGCCATGGCTAAATAACAGTGAACATTTTCAACTGTTTAAAAGCTTTCCAGAATGTGACAGTTCCACTCTGACCCAAGAGAAGATGTTGGGCTACACTGGGCACTGGGAAGAACGTAGCACTCCCTCAGACATGATTCTAAGAAGGGATGCCATGAAGGACAGGAGACCCCAGTAATTGGGTTCTTAAGTAGCAAATGATTTATGTATGTGCACTTATTATATGTGCAATTAAGTCTCAGTTGTACCACCTAAATGCCCTGAGAAGTGTTTGTTTTTGATATGTGAACAGTGAAGGGCCGCTCCTGGTTGGCAGCACCTGACAGGGTACACATCTGGACTTTTAACATTGGCACTGGCAACAGGACCCGGTAGCCCAGGGGGTTGAAGCAGTGGTGAGTATTTCTTCCCTGGTGGAAGGGAAGATAGGACGAGCAAATTTCCACAGACGTGTGTTGTAGAAGTAATGAGGTGAGTTTCGGAAAATAATTTGAGAAATCTCACTAGGGCACATGAAGAGAAACCCTTCCTGAAACTCTAAGATTGACAGTTAGCCAATTTCTGGTAAACTTCAGGTCGCCTCTGTTTCAGAATCTACTGATCTACAGCAAACATAGCACTGAGCCTTTGATTAAGACAAATCAATCAACATTACATTTCCAACTAAAAGTGGAAGTTGGTAGTTAAAGTCAACATCCAGAGTTGAGACAGTTAGAGACGTTGCGAAAGCAGAACTAAGTTAATGGAAATAGAAGTAGATACCCAGACAGCAAGAGAAAGTAGACAGATAATTGAATTGAACGTTCATAGGAAGGCAGAAGAAATAAATTGTTCTTTTCATTACTTCTTATCAAATGATGACATTTTCATAAAACATATAGCGATGTCGAGATTCTTTTTTGAGCATTTAAATTACTCTGAGTAGTCCATCTATCTTTTCTCCTGTCCTCATTGCCAAGGCATTTTTTTTTCCATCAGATTGGTTCACACTTAATGGCCAATGTTTTGTCATTGCATCCTTTCAGCTGAATGACCAATCGCTCTTACCACTTGCCTTCAGCTGTATCAGAAAGATCTACAGATTGATAGTCAGACATACCTTCCATGGCCAACAAATCCTGATGGAGGACTCAAACTCAAAGCTTCTGGCCCAGATGTAGGTATGTTACTATTTTGGCCGAAGACTTCCTACTTTGTCCATATTGATCATTTATGGTTTTGTTGTGAAAACAATCTGAAAATCAACGCTTTAAACCTTCAGGAATAGTTGATGCTCATTTAGACATTTTTATTTTGGGAAATTATGTGTATGTAGCGTTTTACAGTTCAGTGTGTGAGCTGTTTCTTTTTTCAAACTTAGGCTGGTGTGTAGTATCTGTTACAGCTATCTCTCTGTTCCCCTTTCTTTGGGAAGGTAAATAAAGTAAATGGCTATATGCAGTTGGACATGTGTTAGTAATGCAGGAACTATGGGAAAGAGTTAAGGGCTTACCTGCAACTTTGTGCATTAACTGGAATTTGTTTCCACTCTGGTATGCCTTTGATATAAAGGCAATCTTAATGGTGCGACCATATGAATAGAAATCTGGGAACGTTGAATTGGAGCCACATAATCGATAAATTTGCCCAAAATCACTCTAAAATGAGAAGAATGAATAATTTAAAACATAAATGAAAGAGGCTAAATCTATGGAATATTGCCGAATAGTTTGCTGAAGATGAGCTACAGTTTCTGATAACAACATTTAAAATGTTAGTCCTGAGAAAGATTGCAACCATCCCCTCACAGGCAAAATTTTGTGGTATTATTCGAGTTTTGTGAAATCTGTATACTGCTTTTTATCCAGGCAGACTTCTTCAGAACTGCTGTGTTCTGAAAAAGAGTCATATCGGACTTTAAATTCTAACCCCATTTCTCTCTCCACAACAACTGCCATACCTGTTGAGTTTCTCCAGCACTTTGTGTTTGGCTTTCAGATTAGATGTTATTGAGAGGTTGAGCCGCTTCTTCGGGTAGGTTGAAAAAGATAAAATGACACTGAGAAAAATAGGAAATTCTCCTGAAAATCTGGTCAACTTTCAGCCCTCAATCAACACCACAAGGCAAACTTACTAGTCATTCATGTCAACTATTATGTGTGGGATCTTGCTGTGTCCAAATGAGTTTCTGTACTTTTCCTACATAAAAGCAGTGATTGCATTCCAAAACGTATTTAACTGGCTGTTATATACTGAAGTTATCTCTTGGACATGAACAGCATTATATGAATTCATCTTTCATATTTCTTCCTTTTTTCCTTCTTGAATCCGAGTTCAAATCCATCTCAAATTATTAATGGATGTTGTATTGTCCTTGTTGCTGTTCTAAGGCTTAAGTATATGAATTTGGGTTGTCTAGAAACAAAATTAAAATGAAAAAATTGTTCATAATTCGGTACGACTTTCTCAGAGGTCCAATGAAACATGAAAATATTTGACTGGTACAGTGGGTGGTACTCCTCTGAGGCTGGAGCTGAGTACAAGAGATTTTACTCTGCATCAAATCCTTTCTACATCTTAAAATACTGGAGATGGTGGAAATCTGAACTGAAAACAGAAATTGCTCGAAATAGTCAGCAATCATGCAACTTCTGTCGAGAGACAGACGCTCAGAGATTTAAACTGGTCCTGAAGCAAGGTCAAACCCAGACTTGAAACATTAACTCTAGTTTCCTCTCCACAGATGCTGCCAGATCTGCTGAGTATTTCCATCGTATTCTGTTCTTTATTCTGCCATAACATGCTTGGATCTGTCCAAAGCTGCCGTCTTGAACCACTGCATTTCATTTGGTGCATGATGTTTATTCTGCTGGATTTACAACAAGTAGGGTAGACATTCATAGACATGAGCTTTGCTTTCAGTTTGTAGGATTGAACAGATTTCAAGAATTCAGTTCAGAAGACACCAGGGTTGAGTGCAGAAGAAAGTTTAGTGTCTCTTCTAGAATGAGTTCAGGGAACAATTCACCTCAGGGTTTGGTCCTCAAGATGGTGGTGGAATAGCAGGGCTGCATGCGGGCTCTTGCCTGGGGCTCATCCACTCCCATCTGCTTTTCTTTTCTTTCTTTGGCTTCTGCTCTTTTTTTTCTGTTTTTTCTTTTCTGTGGTGGGTTGTTCGGCAGCATCAGTGTGGCAGCAAGAGCAAGCTGTGTACAGAGCGGCAGGCACAGCTTCTCCTGGCAGTTGGAGGGGGCGGCAGTGGCAACAAATCTCCTCCAGTGATCAGGGGTGGCAGTGCTGGCCACAATGGACTTTTCAAGACCATAAGACCATAGATGGCATGGATGACCATAGATTTCAAGATGGCAGTGCCAACAAGGCTACATCTGAAACCAAAGTGGGATTCTTGGTGCAATGATGGCCTGGCCTGGCAGCAGAGCCAGGGAGTCCTGGCTGCAGTGGGCCCATAGCAGGAACTCCTGGTGCTGACCTGGCAGCAAGGATTCCTGGTTGCGGAGTAAGTGTGTGTTCAGCAGTGTCAGTGAGGTGGGCCCAGTGGCATAGAGATGGCACCTAAAATGTGGCAACTCCTATGTTGGTGCAAGCAGTGGTGAGGAGGTGGAGGTCTCTCTTACAGTTACTGGAGACTAGGTGCCAGCTGGGACTCCCATTCTGAACTTTCTTTTTTGTTATTTTTCTAATTTATTCCTACTATTTGTAATGCTGGACTTTTTATTTCTTCATTTTTCTATAGTTATTTTCCTAAGAATTTGTTCTTAAGATTCTGTACTGAGGTACCTTTGTACTTAAAAAGTACAAAAGTCACAAAAGTGACAAAGTTGATAGATGAGGGAAGGGCTGTAGATGTCATATACATGGACTTTAGTAAGGCATTTGATAAGGTTCGCCATGGTAGGCTGATGGAGAAAGTGAAGTCGCATGGGGTCCAGGGTGTACTAGCTAGATGGATAGAGAACTGGCTGGGCAACAGGAGACAGAGAGTTGTAGTGGAAGGGAGTTTCTCAAAATGGAGAACTGTGACCAGTGGTGTTCCACAGGGATCTGTGTTGGGACCACTGTTGTTTGTGATATACATAAATGATCTGGAGGAAGATATAGATGGTCTGATTAGCAAGTTTGCAGATGACACTAAGATTGGTGGAGTAGCAGAGAGTGAAAGGGACTGTCGGAGAATGCAGCAGAATAGAGATAGATTGGAGAGTTGGGCGGAGAAATGGCAGATGAAGTTCAATCCAGGCAAATGCGAGGTGATGCATTTTGGAAGATCCAATTCTGTACGGTAAATGGAAAAACCCTGGGGAAAATTGATGAACAGAGAGATCTGGGTATTCAGGTCCATTGTACCCTGAAGGTGGCAATGCAGGTCGATAGAGTGGTCAAGAAGGCATACGACATGCTTTCATTCATCGGACTGGGTATTGAGTACAAGAGTTGGCAGGTCATGTTACAGTTGTATAGGACTTTGGTTCAACCACATTTGGAATACTGCATACAGTTCTGGTCACCACATTACCAAAAGGATGTGGATGCTTTGGAGAGGATGCAGAGGTGGTTCACCAGGATATTGCCTGGTATGGAGAGCGCTAGCTATGAAGAGAGGTTGAGTAGACTAGGATTATTTACATTAGAAAGACGGAGGTTGGGGGGGTCCTGATTGAGGTCTATAAAATCATGAGAGGTATAGACAGGGTGGATAGCAAGAAGCTTTTTCCCAGAGTGGGGACTCAATTATTAGGGGTCACCATTTCAAGGTGAGAGGGGAGAAGTTTAAGGGAGATATGCGTGGAAAGTTCTTTACGCAGAGGGTGGTGGGTGCCTGGAACGCGTAGCCAGCGGAGGTGGTAGAGGCGGGCACGATAGCGTCATTTAAGATGTATCTAGACAGATACATGAATGGGCAGGGAGCAGAGGGATACAGATAATTAGAAAATAGGCGACAGGTTTAGATAGAGGATCTGGATCGGCGCAGGCTTGGAGGGCCGAAGGGCCTGTTCCTATGCTGTAATTTTCTTTGTTCTTTGTTCTTGTTCTTAAGACGGTGCTGTAATACAGTGACTTTGTAAACTTTTCACGGTAGCCATTTGAGTACATGTGACAATAAAGCTAATTCAATTAGTTGTCAAACTTGAAAACCAAGAGAGTTTGGTTAGAAATCTGCCGGTTATTAGAACTGATAAAGTTTAGGTTCTCAGATTCAGACAGGACTCTATGAATTCTCTTCACATCCCATGGCAAAGAAACTTTGAGGAATCAGTTAGATAGGACCCTAAAGAGTCGAGTTGAAGGTCTAATTACTCTTGACTTGAGTCTTTGTAACACAGAGTGTTGGAAAACAGGTTGAAATTTAGTTCAAATGTGCATTTTCAGCTTCTATTTTATTATACTAATACTAATATTTAGATGACTTTTTTATTTCTTCTTTTGTGCAATAAACTTCTGTCCTGTTGTTAAAGAAAATTTGCAGTTTGTGAATTTGTCTCATTAACTACCAAATGAACTAACTAAACGAAAAGAAAATCTGGTCTATTAAGCCAGGTTTCATTCTGAGACGTGACTTGCCAAACAGTACCATTAGCTTGGATTATAACAGGTTGCACAGGGCATCCATATAACATGCATTTTTGATACACAGGTGCATTAGTGTATTCAGGAAACATCTGGTTACCTTTATTTACAATTTTTCAATTTTAATCCTTTAAACTTGCTTTTATTTTACTTTATTTGTTTTAAAATGAAGAATGAAACCCAAGACTTTTTGTGTCCTAAGAACGAGTTTCACCTAACTATTTCAAGAGTGAGTTCTATAGAAAATGGCAATGAGACAGATGGGCTGGGGAGGTGACGGAAATGTCACAATGAATGAAACTGTGAATTTGCATGAATACATTTCCTAAACACAAAGATTGTATGAGACTTAATGGTATTAGACTGAAGAACCATTTCTTCCCTGAATCCAGAATAGGCCACTGTGCATATGCTACATTGGTACAGTATATGAATAATAGTTGTATATCTGACTAACCAATGGCCAGTCTTTAATCTCCAGGTAATCTCCAGTACAGTTTGGGCTGGTTGGCAAATTGAATTCCTGTACTGTCACCCAGATTTGTTCCTGCGCAGGAGCATCGATGATCCAATCACATTTGGTGAGGGGCGGATAATCATGCGGGTAGCCAGGAGACGTAATGATCTGAGTTGTGTCGGTAGAATTGAAATTTCCACCACAGACCACTAGAGAATAAACAAACAAACAAATGGGCAAATTGCAATTGCAAACAGAATGAATAAGTTATGTCTTGGTGCTTTCTAAAACTAATATGATTATTGTAGCTTTTTTCCTTTCACCATTGGCTTTTCTTAATTTAATTAACAATTTTAAAGCGCAGAATCACATTCCATGATAAAATTAAAACTGAATTCCCACTGGTTGTTATGCACAGGAGAGATCCTTGACATTTTGATGAGGAACAGCAGGTGGCACCAATGTACTATCAACATTCAGATGGAAATCAGAACTAAGTTATTGTAAAATTGTTGTGGAACATGATTTAAGCAAAGCTTTGTATGTGTAGGAATGCTTCTTATTTTGTTCAATTATCAACTTGTTTTGTGTATGTATTTTCTTATTAATGGGGTACTTGTGGTGTAAATAAACAAAGTCAGAAGTGAATGAAAGCAAAATACTACAAATGCTGGAGATCTGAAATAAAAGCAGAAACTGCCTGAGAAACTCGGTTCTAAAGAAGAGTCATATTGCACTTGAAACTGTAACTCCAACGCTGCCAGATTTCCTGAGTTTCTTAAGCAATGAATTTTCTGGTGTCATGATGAGTGATTTTAGTTCTGGGAAATGCAATATACTTTCATTTCATGCATCCCTGCCTAGGTATGGCGTGGATCTGACCCTATATTCTTTCACAACAGTGCAATTCTCCTTATTGTCTGCTATAACTTTGATGAAAGAAATGAAGGGGCCTTGGAGAAATGAACTTGGAAAACACTGGAGAAACTCAGCAGTTCTGACATTGTCTGTGGAGAGAGAAACTGAATTTATGCTTTGGGTCCATAATGACTCTTCAGAACTCTGCCTAAATGAGTTCCAGGTCTGAAGAAGAATTATACTGGACACAAAATGTTAACACTATTTTCTCTCCACAGATGCTGCCAGACCTGCTGAGTTTAATCACAACTTTTAAAAGACATTTGTACAGGTACATGGAGAGGAAATGTTTCAAGCGATATGGGCCAAATGCAGGCAAATGGGACTAGTTCAGTTTAGGAAAATTGGTTGTCATTGACGAGTTGGGCCAAAGGATGTGTTTCCGTGCTGTATGACTCTATGACGCTAACTCCAGCATTCTGTTTGTTTCAGAACTGTGTCTGCAGTATCTTGCCTTTATACCTTGAAGAAATGAGTATTCAAGTATGTTCAAACATCTTCCATCAAAGGCACAGCAATCAAATTGTCGAATCTCTGTGAAATTCACCTCCAACAGTCCTTAAAATTAAAATTTCCTGTTGCAGTATTTGAACATTTCCGCCAATGCGCCACCATTCTCTGGCTTCTAACTGAGATTTTCACTTAATAAAATTATCCTGCCATGGGTCCTTGCTCAATCAAAGGTGAATTGAACTTTATGATTGCCATTTTTAAAGTTATCTCATTGGAAAATTCCCTGGGCACATGCACAAATGGTTTGGTATTCACTTAGGCAGACCAAAAAGGGCCAAAGTTCAATGTATCGCCTATGCTCAATTAGCCATGGCAAAGGTAAAGATAGAGTTCTTGTTATGCATGAAAGAGAAATTCAATGAGTTTCAAAATGTGTTAGTGACAATGTCAGATTTTGCTACTTTCTTACTCTCAACGTGTTACTCTTTGACTGATATTTTGAATGCCTTGGGTAGTTTTTAATATTTTAATACTTTAAATTAATCTGAGGGGGAATTTTGTTTCTTTTTTTGCTATTATTCATAATATTATAGTATACATATAAGCAATGTGCCAATATGAATTTCCATATCATGAATAAAGTGACATTGAATTGATTAGAATTGAATTTAGGTAAGCATTGCATTTTTGCAAGTAACATTTTTAACACATATTCTCTAAATGCTATATTCTAGTTAATATAAATATGAAGTCCTTCCTTAACACATAATATATTCAGCCATTTGTACAATTGTTTATAGGTACTGTATTTTGACTTACGATCATTGGCTACATATGTTGCTTTGAAGCCAGCTAATTCAACTGAGGAGCCAGAGATGAATCTCACAGTAAGGAAGTTACTGGATGAGACAAAGGAAGGTGGCAGTTCAGAGCCACAGTAAGTGGTTACTGATGGGCTGTTTATATCCTCTCCATCATAAATCTAAAAAACAAAATCACAAGCTTGCGATTATTAATTATAATCTTAGTTCGCAGAAAATTTTGTTTTTCTTTCATTGTGTAATTAAATATTTGTTACGTACCAGCCATTTGCTATTAACTTAAGGATTTAATCTAACATAAAAATAACCTTGTGAAGACCTGTTATTCTCAACACCTGATGTAGTATTTTGTTGCAGTTTACTCAATATTTCTCTTGCCATTTGAACAAATCATTCATTCTAAAATTACTCCCTGGGCTCAAACAGTAACTGCAACTTTTCAGTCATATTATGAATGATTTTCTGGCACCCTGTCAAATGTAAATGTCCTCTATGTGAGTTTTTATCCAAGGTTGACTATCCTTTGCTGTGTAATGGGTAAGTTCACAGTTCACTCCTTTTAACTTCTGCTTTATGGTCTCTAACCTCACGATAATTTATGCCCAGTCATGACAGCTGAAAATCTGTCTTTTGTTTCTTTTCTTTTAGAAAAAGGAATGGTAAAGTTCAGGGAATGTAAAAGGCTGAGAGGGAAAGAAATGGTGAAATTTAAGGTTTTAGTACAATGATGAACAGTGACCAAGGCATGTGGCATTTGGGCACCTACATTTTTGGGTGTGCGTTAGTCATATAAATTTAGGAAACTGACAGGAGCTTGTCTTTTATATGAGAGCAAAGCTATGTAATTGCACAGTTGTGAATTTAGGCAGACCCACTTTGAATGCACTGTAAACAATTGAGGAGGTTTGCATAAAGTGATGTTTCAGCAAAAGTCTGATGTAAAATCAGCTTACTGAAAATGCCTTGGAAAAGAAATGGCACAACGCAGTGCTTACACTGTAGTTACGTTGAAATATTCCAGAAATTCTGGGATTTCTGTGGCCTTCTGAGGCTTTCTCTTTACTGTTTGTCAGGTCATCGGGTTTACTTTGTTATTTGTCATTTTATTTCTTGAAAACATTATGATGGAAGGCCTGTATTTGTAATATGCGCTACCAACTAAGGTCTGCAAAGTTATTCAATTTAAAACAGTCTCAGCAAGATTTTTATTGTTGGATAATGCCCTTAAGTGCTTTATCATGAGCTAATACAGAGTACATGAGCTCTTAATTACTGTTAATTTCACACCAAGATGAGATGGAACTACACAGCAATATCTCAGTAAACTTGTATCTGCTTTTGATTTAAACTGAAATAGAAACTGATCAATGTTGCTTTTAATCAACTTATAAAATACTTACATTAACATAATCAGATTTGCAAATTCCTTCCGATGGGTCCTCCAGTTGAAAGGCTGTGAAAGTCATGTTGATGACCTTGTTTAAAGGTACAAATATGCACCACACGCAGTCTAAGTTATTTTCATATTTGCCATCGAAGTTAATATCTGGTGAACTGATGTTGCCCCTGAAGTTGCTTAAGTATCCACCACATCCTTGGTTTAACCCTGGAGTGAAACATCAAGATTTATTAATTTTTGTGAATATGTAGTTCATAGTTCATGTCAACATTTTTGAGGTAACTTTTAGTTTTTGGAAGATTAAAGTTGCATACATAAAGTAATTACAATGCTGGATTCTAGACATTGCAAGAACATCTCAAGAAATGCAATGATCTTGCAATGATCTCTCCGCCTATAAATTCTGTGCTTGTGCACTTTCCTCCATTTTACCTGATAAAGGAGCAGTGCTCTGAAAGCTTGTGATTTCAAATAAACCTGTTGCATTATAACCTGGTTTCATGTGACTTCCGACTTTGTCCAAGTCCAACACTGGCACTTCCACATCATCTCAAGAAATGGCAGATCAAAAGGTGACCCATATTTGTTTGATAAAATCAAAATAAAAGAGAGAGGTATAAAATAGTTGAACTATAAAGTTGAATTAACTTAGCTAAAGAGCAAGAGACATGATGTCTACATTCCTTCAATAAGGATGGTCCAAACAAATACTTTGTTTTGAGAGGCAGAGCTAAATTAATTTACAAGCATTCAGTATACACTGAAAGGAATTCATTAAAGGAAAAGTTGCAAATTAGGGACAATTAATCTAAAAGTTGCTTTAAGGGTATCCCAGGGCAGACTATACCATCATGGAGATTGGTGAAGCTTAAGGGGAGGCTCTGGTTTTAGTTTATCTGAATGTTTTGCTGAGAGAGTTAGTTACAGTTTGAAACTCACATTGTTTGAAGCTCAGTGAGACAGGGCAACCTAAGTAAATGATAATTAGATAAATCTGTTCTGTAAGCAGAATAAAAACAACTAACTTTGTCATCCACAGCAAGAAACGTTCTGTAAACAGAATAAAAACAACTAACTTCATCATCCACAGTATGGAATGTTGGTAAGGCTAATCTCAGTTTGAATTTTGTGAGGGAATAGAAGCTGGATGATTGTCTGGTTTGAAACTGGAAAACTCTAGTGGTCCTCCACACACTGCTGTGGCAGAGAAAGCATCAACCAGATTGGCTAAGAATTCCTGGAAAATAATCAGAACAAGAGACAAAAGAATCCACTTTCAAGAGCTAGTAAACAGAAGTTTTATTTCTGACATCTCGAGCTAAGGAGAATTCTCCAGAGTACTGTACCATACATTGCTACTGCTGGTCCCTATGTATGCAACTAACTTTAAGATTAAGTGCTCTGATGCTGCCTGGCCTGCTGCGTTCCTCCAGCTTCATACTGTGTTGTCAACTTTAAGATTGATGTGTCTTATAAGACAATTCTTGGGACAAGTAAGAAGTAAAACATATTGCATAAAATATATCATTATAAACTATATAATTGTGTTAATAATGTTTTCTTATTTGATTCTACTATACAAAGTGATGTTTGTTTTGATTAGAGTTGTAATCATGTGGCACCGTTAGGTAGGTTTAAAGGAAACATTCAGATTTCCCTTTAAATGAAAATAGATCCTCACTGGATCATAAGACAACATTATCACTAAAACGTCAGGTAAACAATTATCTGGGAATACTGCCCTTGATTACATAATTGATTGTTTCACACATAAGACGTGTGACCAAAGTTATAGCTTAACAAATAAAAGGGACAGTGGCCACACAAACTCAAAATTTGCTGCAGGATGGGAAACAGAGGTTAATTGTTAGTGGATTTTTCCCGCACTGGCAGAAGGTTTGCAGTGGAGCTCCCCAATGGTCAGTTTTGGACTTTTGTTTATTCTGATACATATTAAAGACCTAAACCTTGGTGTACAGAGCACAATTTCCAAATACCTTGATTATACAAAGTTTGGAAGCTTTGTGAATGTTAGCAGTATAGTAGAGAACTACAAAACGAAATGGAAAGGTTGGTAGAATGGATGGGTTGGTTGCATAGGCACTTGGTGTAGAAGTGCCTAAATCATTGGAAGTGCTAGGACAGGTTGAAGGTAGTGATTAAAGCATACAGTATCATGGCCTTTATGAATAGGGACATATGGTACAAATGCAAGAAGGTTATGCTAAACTTGTATAAAATTGGTTCGGCCTCAACTGGATTAATCAGTCCATTCTGAGAATTCCATGTTAGGAAAGAGACACCATACATAGCTATTGCTGGTCCTTACAGCATTAGAGAGAACACTAAAAATATGGTTAATAAGACTGGCTTCAGTTACATAGACAGATTAGAGAAGAGTAATGTCATTTTCCATGTGGAAGAGGAAATTGAGAGGACATTTGATAGAGGCATTTAAGAGGGGCTTGGACAGAGTAGAAAGCAAGAAACTTCACTTTTGGTGAAAGGATGGAGAACCAGATTTAATGTAATTGGAAGAAGAAGCAATAGCAACCTGAGGAAAATCTTACAGGATTACAGAAGTGCTACGTACAGAAGGATGCCATTCAGCTCATCATGTCAATACCAGGCAGCTCTTCAAATAAGCATCATTGACTGCTACAAATTTCCTGTTTTTCTTCCCATACCTTGACACATTATTTCTATCCAAACAAACATTGATTGGCCTCTTGAAAGCCTCACTTGAATCTGCCTCCTCCACACCTTCAGGCAGTGCATTCCATACCCTAACTGCTTGCTGAGTGAAAACATTCTTACCACCTTACACTTACTTCTTTGGCAGATTAATTTTAATAAATGCTATCTTGTTCTTGTTCTTTTTAGGAGTGGGAATAAAGTCTTCCCATTTACTCTATCTGGCCAGCTCATGATTTTGGAAACCTCTATCAGATCTCCTCTCCAACTTCTCTCCAAGGAGAACAGTCTCAACTTCTTCAATCCATCCTCATAAATGAAATTGCCCATCCCTTCAACCATTCGTGTGAATCACATCTGCACTCTCTCCATTGCATTCACATCTTTCCTATAATGTGACTCCCAGTACTGAACACACTATTCCAATTCAGGTCTAACAATTGTTTTATATAAGCTCAACATCACATCCTTAGCCAATTGCTCTATGACCCATTAATAAAGCTGAGGTTAATTTATGCTTTATCAATTGCTCTCTCAGCCTGTCCTGCCACTTCAGTGATCTGTACACATATACATCTAGCTCCCTCTAGTCCTGCAATTCCTTTAGAATTGTAACACCTATTTTATATTAGATTTTAATGCTCTTCCAACCAAAGTACATCACCTCACACTTCTCTGCATTGAAACTCATCGGTCCACTTCACCAAATTGTCAACGCCGCTTTGGAGTTTCACACTGTACTCCTCACAGGTTAAAACTCTTCCAAATTTTGTGTCGTCTGCAACTTTAAAATTATTCCCTGCACACCAAGAATCTAGATCATTTATATTAATAAATATATATCAGGAAAAGCAAAGGTCCCAATACTGAACCTTGGGGAACTCCATTGCAAATCTCCCTGCAGCCCGAAAAGAATCCAATTACTATTATTCTCTGAGGCCTATCACTCAGCCAAGTTTGTATCCATGTCGCTAATCTCCCTCTTTTACCACGACTTATCATTTTCCTCTCAAGTTTTTTGTGTGGCATTGTATCAAACACCTTCTGGAAGTCCATGTATATCAAGAGCATTCTATCACTGAGGCTTTCTGTTACCTCTTCAAAAAATTCCAGCAAATTATTTAAACATGATTTCCCCTTTGGAAATCCATGCTGACTCTTCCCAATTGGCCCACCTTTTTCACACAGTGAGTTGTTAAGATCTGGAATGCATTGCCTGAGCGTGTGATTCAGGCAGATTCAACTGAGGCATTCAATAGGGAAATTATTATCCAAAAATAAGGAACATTAAGGACCATGGAGAAAAGGAGGGACAAAAACATTCAGCTAAAACACCATTATTGCAAAATAAATCTTTCTGAATGTCTCTCCTTTTTTTTTTTACAGACTGAATTCAGTGTTTCTGGGTACTGAAAATTAGGCTTGTATCTATTTTAATCATGTTTCTATCTCATTCCTGGTTCTAAACTTTTGCAATGTGCTCTCACTCTTGGGGCTGGGGTGGAGAAGGGAGGGGAGAGGATATTTGACAGGATGTCAGGTTTCCACAAAATTCCTGCTAGATTAATTAAAAATCTGTTAAGGGCAGTTGCAAATGAACCTGTATTATACAGTCAAATTACCCAGGGATGTGTAGGGGCTGCAAAATGCAGTATTCAAAGTGATAATTGATTCCAGAGAGCTTGATTGCTCCTCAAAACAGTGACACAAGTTAATAAGGTCATAAAGTAAACAAAGCAATATATTTCTGGAGAATTTCATCTGGATAAATTTATTTCTCAGCAAATAGAATAATAAAGGAGAGGCTGTATAGGCTCGATTTGTTTTCCTTGCAACAAAGGAGGCTGATGGGGGAATCTGATTGAGGTATACAAAATTATGAGAGGTATAGACAGAATAGATCCTGACAATTTTTTTCCCCATGGCAGTAATGTCTAAGACCAGAGGGCACAAGTTTAAGGTTAGGAATAAGTGGTTTAGAGGAGATCTGAACATTTTTTTTAAAAAACAGAGGGTGCTGCTTTAAAGGGTGATGGGGGCAGGTAATCTCACAACATTTAAGAAGCATCTGGATAAGCACTTAAAATGCATCATGTAACTTGTTATCTGTGGACACCAACAGACTTTTTTTTAATTCTAGGGCCTCAATTAATTCAATTTTCACCATCCGCTGTTGTGGGATTCAAACGCACGTCCCTGAAAAGTAGCCTGGTGTTCTGGATTGTTACTCCAGTGACATTACCACTATGCCACTACCTCTCCACGTTTGGCTCTGTAACTTGAGTTTGTACTATCTGTCCATACGGGGACTAATGTTAATGGACTCGGCGGTCAGGATTTTGCTTCTCCCTCTGATTCACTATTTTAACCTGGTTTGGTGCTTATTTGTGTTGGCTGGTAGAATTCACCGAATGGATGTGTGGCAGTGCCAATAGGTGAATGTTGATAGAGCTGCTACTTCAGCACTAGCAGAGTGAATATAAGCCCCAGATGCCATGACGACACATGCCAGT